GTGCCGCCGGTCACCCCCCCCCCCCCCCCCCACCTTTCACCTAGCCAGCTCCTACCACATCCTCGTCCTCTAGGTCCCAAGTGCACAGTACGTCCTCGGGCCCCCACACTAGTAGCCCTCCCTTCATAGCACCTAACAGAGTAGTCACTAGCCGCGCAATTCCCTGGTTAGCATCTGTCTCTGCAGATCCAAGCTCCGAGTCTATATGCTCAGCCTGTCTCCCCAGTCCTGCCACAATGCCTGGTTGATAGTGAACACTTGATAAATACTCTGTTGTCGTGTTTGGTTTGATAGATATTTTTAAATGACTCGATGTGATTATCTGAGCCTTAACTTCTTCCTCCATCAAATGGGATACTAACGGAGAGGACATTGAGAGGCTCAAGTAAGATAATATTAATGCCAATAAAAGTTATGAACTTTATGTAAGCACTTCGTTATATGTGATCTTATTTGCACATTTAAAAAACGCCCCAAAAGTAGCACGTATGTATAAGGAATTGTTTTTATTCTGTTCAGTGCCCCATCCAAAGAACTAAAAGTTCATTCAGGAAACTACATGGCAGGGGTGCAGTAAGTCATGAGCTGACGAAGGTATAGCAGGAGGGCAATCCTAGGGAGTGGGTGTTCCTCTCCTCCCCTCGAGAGGCCGAGGCGAGGTGAGAGGCTGGTGAGTCGATTCAGTTACCCATTCCAAAAAGGCTAGTCAAATGTGTCTTTGTTAGCCGCTTACAAAGCTTCACTGAATGTGGTCTGTGTGCCTTGAATTTGTAATGGAGTTAGAGGACAGCCAGAGGACTGTGAATCTCGTTTTAGGTAGACACCATTCTGTTTGGTAAACTTGAAGCTTTTGTCAGCTGAGACCTGAGGAAGCTCTGGAGTGAGTGTGGCCCGTGTTCTTTGACCTTACTTTATTCCCTGTTTGGATCACCTGTTCAGCTCTCAGGCAATAACTTATGTAATTGTTTTTCACAGGGCGATTCAGATGAAAAGAGTACCGATGAGTGCGCTGGCAGCCTGGTAAAACATGGAGAGGAAAAACCCATCCAGAGAGAGCCCCAGGAGACTCTCGGCCAAACCAGGCAAAGGCACAGAGATGAAGAAAGTGGCCCGGCAGCTCGGCATGGCGGCTGCAGAGTCAGATAAGGACTCCGGATTTTCAGGTTTAAGACATTGTCTCCTTTCTACCTTGTAACGATACGTGGGAATCCAGCGACATAGTGTGTGTGCGTGTGTGTGTGTGTGTGTGTGTGTGTGTTTCCCCTAAAACTTGTCTGGGTGATAAGGACAGGAAACTTTCTAGATTTCCCAGGATAAATAACTGTCTGATCTCTTGAAATGGCTAATCTGAGACTGTATGGCAGGATTCCCATCACAGTCACCGTGGCACTGGTTCTGAGAGAACGATTTCATGTCTTTTCTTCAGCTTAGACTCTCAACTTTAAATCTTACCTTTCCAACTGGTACAAGTAGTTACTGGAAAAATATTTAAATGCTCATACTAATGTTGTTTTAATTCCTTTTCTATAAGAATAGTTACATTGTAGGAAAAAATACTACTTAAAAAAAAAACTGTATATGTCTCCATGTAAGAAATTTATAAACTGCTAGTTAAACAAAATAGTATATAATTTATTAAGATAATTTTGTCGTGTTTAAAAACCTCTCACTTCCCCCTAGTATCTGTGGGTTTATGTTTGGACTGTAAGCCACCTGGCCCCCTTCTAAATTCAAGTGTCCATTCTCGACAAGAAAGCAGAACACTTTCCCTAACTAGTTACTCTTAAACCTCACTGAAAGAGCTAGCTCCTTTCTCAGTGAGTCTATGCTTTTCTTTCTTTTCATTTTTTAATTGCCAGTGAATGTGTGCACTTGACAGAGAGAGGGAGAAAGCACCCCCCACAATGGGGCATGGTCACATTGCAGTCCCTTCTCCACTTCTTCATCCTATCGAGATTTGGGGTCCATATGCACCTGTGCCCAGTGTGTTTTTCAAGCTGCCGGGTGTGGGAGTTGAACTATGTTCAGTTGGCTCCAGCTCGCCTAGTCACTAGGCTATGGGGCTGGCCTTTCAGTGGATCTTTTAATTCTGTGCTGAGGCTCTTTTTTATTTCCAGATCTGAGAGTAATGGCTTCCAGTGTGGCTCTAGTGTCAAATGTTTTTGGCCGGGGGGATGCAGAGAGGTGGTGCCAGGAGATTCTGGCTCAGTCTGCCTCCTGAGGGTAGATCCCCCTCTAGAGAAAGGCTTATGTTATCAAGCACGCAAAGACGAATCAATCGGTTTTGTTGGCTTATTAATTTACAGCGAGAAATACAGCTGTTAGGAAAGCTAGCATCTCCCTTGCTTAGATCAGTGTATTTCTCCCTGGAGGTATGCTGCATGAGAGGCCAGATTATAAATAGGCTGTTGCTCAGAGGGCAGCAGAGCACCAACAAGGGATTAGAATAAGACGAATTAGTTGTCCTGGACAGGGATAGTCCAAGGAAGCGCAGGCCACCTGAAGGCCTTTGGCGTCTCTTCTCTATTTCTTTGTTTATTTTATTTATTTTTAAATTATTATTATTATTATTTGTCAAAGAAAGAGAGAGAGAGATAGAGGGAAAGTGAGAAATCATCCTCTGGGGAGATGGCCATGCTATAATCCTTTCTCCATTTGCCTCCTGAAATTTGGGCACTCACACACATGCATCTGCCCAGCGTGAATTTCAAGCTGCCAGGTCCAGGACTTGAACTGCAGTTGACCATGTGGTAGTGCAGCACCTTAACCACCGTACCATCTGCTGGCCCCTCTCTTTTCTATTTCTTAACATTATTTCCCAAGCTTCCCTTATCAGAGGGGTTTGGGTAAAAATACTGACCAGCAGATTCTCTTGAGATTTTTTTTAAAATTTTTTGCTATAGAGTGCATGCACTCACCAGAGACAGAAAATGAGAAAGCATCCCCAAGGGAGATGGCCACGTCACAATCCCTCCTTCTCTATTTTCCTCTTGGGATTTTGGACACACACACACTCCCAGTGTGTTTAAAGCTGCCGGGTTCAAGATTTAAACCGTGCAGTTGGCCATGTGGGATCCAGCTGCCTTAACGTCCATGCCACCTGCTGGCCCTGGAGAGTCTTGTATCAACAGCCTGGGAAGGCTCTGGAATGTGGGTTGTTTTTTGTTGTTTTTTTCATTTTTTTAAAACAAGTGTCTTTGTAGGTGTTTTCTTTTAATATCATGTTTTTTTTTCTATTTGTTTTTCATAACATGCAAGTAATACACCACTCCTTGAAGAAACCTAGAAATTTAGAAAAGTGCAAAAAAGAAAATAAACACTCCATAATCCTACCATCTATTATTGCCAAGGCTGTTAGGTTTGGGCACTTCTTCCAACAATTTCAACTTTGTCAAGCCACTTGTTCATTTTTGTTTTTGTTTTTTATAGAGAGATTTTTGCTATAGGGCACATGTGCTTGCCAGAGAGAGACAGAGATACAGAAAGGAAGAAATCACCCCCCCCCTCACACACACACACAGGGGGATGGCCATGCCCCAATCCCTTTTGCTTCATTTTCCTCTTAGAATTCTGGATGGGTATGCATACACATGTACCAGGCATGAGTTTGAAGCCGCTGGGTCCAGTACTCGAACCGCAGTCAGCCATGTGGGAGTCCAGCGATGTAACCATTACGCCATCTGCTGTTGCCTAGGCCATTTGTTTTAAGAAACATTGTCCTATGCAGTTATAAGATGATATTAAAAATCATTGAACTTAGTAGGTCCCAGAAATGGTCCCAGTGACTGTGTCCAGCTACTCTTGGGTCAGGTGCCAGTGTCGCTGCCTGAGTTAGAACTCCAGTCACCCTGGAGCATGATAAAATTTGCAAGCCTAAGATAGGTTTTTCTTTTTCATTTTCTCTTTGTTAGAGGGTACATGTTCTTGCCAGAGAGAAAGTGGGAAGGAAAGGAGGAAGCACTCTCCCGTGGGGAATGGTCATGCTGCAGTCCCTTCTCCATCTCTCCCTCCTTTCACATGCACATGCACTGCCATGTCTCTCAAGCTGCCAGGTCCGGGTGCAGACAGTCCCCCTAATGGTTCTTAACCCAAGGTATACATTTGGATTACTTGTGCTTTGTGAAAACATACCTACCCATGGGCCAGCAGGTGGTGTGGTAGTTAGGGGGCTGGACTCCCATGTGGCGACTGCGGTTCGAGTCCCAGACCTGGTGGCTTGCTTTCTCACTTTGCCTTGCTCCCTGGTGAGCACATGTGCCCTATAGTAAATGTAAAAAAAAAATAATAAGTGAAATTAAATAAATACATAATTAAAGAAAAAGAAAATATGCCTACCCAGCACCAGGTAAATCAGGGAGCTCAAATAAAGAGCCTCCATAGCCATCATTTTTGAAAAGCATTAATGGAGATTTTGTTTTCTACCTCTTCTGATGAATATCCTCTGGTTACAGTCTTCTCCAAGCTGGAAAAAAATGAGGTTGCTTACAGTTGCATTCATTTGCAGTCACATTCCAGGCCTGCCAGGTCCAGACCATTCTGGAATCTTGATGAGCATTTAGGCTGTTCAGAGTTCGCAGTTGCAGGGCAGACCGTTTCCTGGTTCACTGCAGCAGGGGTCTCATGTTGTCCTCTCTGTATGGAACTCACACGGGTGTCCTGGTTTCCCAGCCTTGGAGTGCGCTGTCCATTCCCATTACGCAGGCTCCCCAGTAGGCACACTCCACCTCACTTAGGGCACCAGCAGAGGAGGTGGATGGGGACAGTAAAGAGAGGAACACTTGAACTGCAGCTTTGATGACCTCATCCAGGGTTTTGCAATTGAATGATGTAGAAAGAAACTTAAATTTCAATTTGCTTGTACGTTTTGAGGTTTATACATTGGTTTTGTTTTTATTATTATAATTTTTTTAGAGAGATTTTTGCTCAAGGGCACATGTGCTCACTGGAGAGAGAGAGAGAGTGAGTGAGAGCGAGAGCAAGAAAACACCCCCGCCCAAGGGAGATGGCCATGCCACAATCTCTTCTCCTCCATTCTCTTCTTGGGATCTTGAGCACAAGCATCAGTGTGAGTTTTAAGCAACCGGATCCAGGAATTGAACTGTGGTCAACTACATGGGAGTCCAGTGACATAACCATTATGCTACCTGCTGGTACCTATAATTTTTAAAGAGGGTTTTTGCCTTAGGGTGCATGTGCTCTCCAGAGAGAGACAGAAACAGTGAGAGGGAAAGTGAGAAATCACCCCCTGGGGGAGGATGGCCATGCCACAAACCCTTCCCCTCCATTCTCCTTTTAGGAACTTGAGCATGCACACATACATGCCCGCTGTGAGTTTCAAACCACTGGGTCCAAGACTGGAACCATGGTTGGCCATCTGCGTCTCCAGAAACATAACTGCTACACCATCTGCTGGCCCCTTAGTATTACAAGTTTATTTTCTGGTGCTCAGAGCCTCTGAAGATCTTAATCTTGCTGTGGGTATGACACCCACTTACCTTCTCAGCAACAGATTCTTTTTTTTTTTTAATTTGGTGTAGAACATATGTACTTGCTAGAGAGAGAGGAATAGTGAGAAAGCACCCCCCAGGGGAATGGCCACACCACAATCCCTTCTTCATGCACGCCCAGGATCTTGGGCATGCATGTATGTATATGTGCCAAATGTGTTTTTCAGGCTTCTGAGTCTGGGACTTGAACCGTGCAGTTGGCCATGTGGGAGCCAGTCACCTCAACCACCATGCCAGCTGGCCTGAGCAACAGATCTTTTTCTTTTTAAAAATTTTACCAGAGAGCACCTGTGCTATCTGGAGAGCGGGAGAGGGAGAAAGCATTCCCCAGAATGGTCATCTCTCTTTCGGGATTTGGAGCACACAGGCATACATACCTGACACGTTTTTCAAGCTGCTGGCTTTGGGACTCAAACTGCACAATTGGCAATGTGGGATCCAGCACCTTTAACAATCAAGTCACAGTCTGCTCCAAATTATTATTATTTTTTTTGAGAGGTTTTTGCTATAGGGCACATGTGCTTGCCAGAAAGACAGAGAGACAGAGAGACAGAAAGTGAGAAATCACCCCCCAGGGGGGATGGGCACGCCACAGTCCCTTCTCCTCCATTCTCCTCTCGGGATCTTGGGCATGCACACACATATGCCCAGTGTGAGTTTAAGCCGCCAGGCCTGGGGCTCGAACTACATGGAAGTCTAGCGATGTAGCCATTATGCCAACTGCTGGTCCCCAAATTCTTTAATGAACTTTGCAGCCTTCAACTCATTTCTCCAGTAGACTGGTAATTACTTTCATGCGAACCCTAATTGACATAGGATTTTTTCTGTATGAGGAAAAGGTAGTCAGGCTGTCTGGCGTAATGATTTTTAATCTTTAGGGGTGAGAGGATAGTTATGGATCCTGTTGAAAATACAATAAACCTGAAGACCTCATCCTCAGAAAAGTTCACAAAAACACATATCACAAATGTTGCTTTCAGTTACAAAGGTCCACGGTTCCTTAGGAACCGGATCAAGAACCCCTAGCCCAGAGCCCAAGTGACTGACCATTCTTCTAACCACCAGATGGGAGCTCAGAATGTCTGAGCTCTGCAGAGCAGATGGAGTCCGAGGACATGCTGAGCGCCTTAGGCTGGAGCAGAGAAGACAGGCCAAGGCAGAGTGCCAAAGCCGCAAACAATGCCTTCCCTACGCTGTCCCCCATGGTCGTCATGAAGAATGTGCTGGTCAAACAGGTGAGAAAGACTAATATTGCCTATAGTCTGCAAAGAGAAGTTTCTGAGCTTCCTGTGTACAAAGATTTGCCCTGTGCCAAGCAGAGTCTTTAGGAACAGATCACTAGAACCACACTGATGCATACTTTCTGTTCTGGGGAGAGAAATGTTACCTCTTAACTACTGACAGTTTTAAAAAGGAATACAAGAATGACATGAGTTCTCAGTTTTGAGACATTAGACTTTTATTTTTATATTGTAGTTTGTCCAAAGGGACCCTGAAATTCTTCAGCCCGGCATAAAGGAACCAAGCAGAAATGCCATCACTTCAGTGGTGCATTCCAACATGTGGCAGGGTTTAGGTAAAAACCAAAGACTCTCTTCTTCATGTGAGTTACAGTGGGCATTTAGAAATGTAGACTGAATCTATTTGTTTTGTTTGTTATTTAGTTTTACACCAGGGTGTGCACACTTGCAGGAGGGAAAGAAAGTGAGAAATCACCTTCCAGGGGGTATGGCCACGCTGCAGTTTCTCCTCCATTCTCCTCTCTGGCTTTTGGGCATGCACACACACATACCTGCATAATTTTCAAGCCACCAGGCCCAGGACTCTAACTGCACAGCTGGCCACTGGTATCCAGCCACCTTTACCACGCTCCAGGCTGGCCCTTTCTTTGTGAGGCAGAGGCCATTTCTAGTCCCTCTGTCATCCTGAGCATTTTCTCAGTAATAGCCAGAGCCATGTCATTAGTGTGAAATGCTCTTGAATTAGGTTCGGCAGGCAGTACAGCAGAGCCCACACGGCATTGTCGCAGAGTTGGGAAACATCCTGTTTGGGCTTTGTTACATAACTATCCATATTATGTGATTATTGCCTGGATATGAAAGAAAAGATTGAGATGAAAATCCAAGTTAAACTCCAGTGTTTGAGAACTCAGTCATACGAACTTGGTTAATTAAGAATAAAGAAGCCTAAGGAATAGAAGAGACGGATTGAAGCCAAAGAAATTTAACTTTACCCTACTTTACTCTGAAAATACATTCACAGTTCTTGCGTGGGTCTGTTGACAAGGCTACTTGCAAACAGAAATCTGAAATCTGACTTTGGTAGTTGACCTTCCAACTGCAGGTAAAAGGCTAGAAGGTGTCTGTAGCCCGACAGGGAGCCTTCATGTCCTCACTACTACCTAGTCATTTCCGAGGAGCACAGACTGATTTTCAGCAAGGTTGCCTGGCAGCTCTGAAAAAGAATGTGAAGATTTTTGCTAAATCACATCTCAGCTGGAAGCACAGCCCTTCATATTGCAGAAAGACAGAATAAAGACAGGAAGTAGAGCCCCAGTGGAATTGCAGCCCCACCAGCGCCACCCAGTGCTTCTCCTGGGCTTTCTTCTTATTTCCCTCCCTGCCTTTCTCTCTGGCTCCCTCGTCACTCTTTCTCAGGCAGCCGTGTTTATATCCCGTCTGTGTTGTAGGCGAGGCTGGCAGCTCCTAAAGGCTGAGAGCAGCCCACAGTTGAGGCGTCCGTAGGCTTTTCCAGCAGAGCCACATTCTTCTGGACAAAGGCCCATGGGAAAGCTGCTGGGCTTGCTCAGGAGATGGGCAGCTTGGGGACACGCTGACCTAAAGGAGTAGTCCAAGAGTTTTATTTTTTTAAAAAACGTGCTAGAATCTAGCATTCTAACATTAAAATCACAATATGCTTTTAAAACCCCATGTGAATTGTGTAATGTCTTGATTATTATTGCTGCTTGGTTTTAGGCATTTTCCTTTCAAGAGCCTGATTCCATTTCTGCCACTAGACAGTTTGATTAGCCACTGTGGACTTCGGTTTCTCCAACTTTAACATGAAGGCTTTATGTGAAATGATTCTGAGATCCTGTCCAAGTCTAAAGTTTGTTTCATGTTCTCTCACATGATGAATTCAACCAGAATTACAGCTCATAAAATCTGATACGAAAGCAAGTAAGCCAAGGACCTATTAGGATGGTGGGCATAATGGCATCACTAGGATAACAGTCCAGTGCAGTTGTCTTGGCAAACCAGGCTTTTCCTGTTTCCAGGATCCATTTCCCTTTATGTCAACCCCTGGGGGGATGCCAGAAATGTTGCTCCTGACTGAGCTGAACTAAGCTGGTCTCTTCTTTTTTTTGGAGAGGTTTTTGCTATAGGGCGCATGCGCTCACCAGACAGACAGAGACAGAAAGCGAGAAACCCCCCCTCAGGGGGGATGGCCATATCGCAATCCCTTCTCCTCCATTCTCCTTTCAGGATCTTGGGCACGCACGCACATGCTCCCGGCATGAGTTTTAAGCCACCGGGTCCAGGACGCGAACCGCGGTCGACTACGTGGGAGTCCAGCGACATAGCCATTACGCTAACTGCTGGTCCCACTGGTCTCTTTTTGTAAAGACCAGGATTCTGGATCCCCTCTGACAGGGCCACCTGATTTCTGGGCTTAGCATTGCTTGCCTTTGTGTGTCACAGGGTGTCAGGATGGACTCCAGATCATCCCAGCCTGTGCATAGGATGAGAGAGTTGGCCTACAGTTCCTAGCCCAGCATCCAAGAATTTGAAATGTGTGCGAAATGGTGTGCTTGTGCAGGTTGAGAAGATCATCCATAACATACTTCAAATAAGCCAAACAGCCCCAAGGGTCAGAACCTCTGCCAGGCTCGCGGTCTGCCTAGTCTCATCCACAAGTCCTATCTTTGGGACCAGGTTGAAATTGGACTGGCTTTCAGATATTGAAGAGTAGCCATGCGCTTTGTTAGATTTCATCTGAAATAGTACTTTTTTTCTTTCAGTTTTTGGTGTTTTTTTTGTTTTTTGGGTTTTTTTTTTTTTTTTTTTTATGTTTTTTTGTTTGTTTGTTTTGCTATCAGCATGCACACTCTCTGGAGAGAGAAAGAGAGAAAGTGAGATACCACCTCTAGGAGGGGATGGCCACACTGCAGTCCCTTCTCTTCCATTCTCCTCTTGAATTTTGAGCGTGCACACACACATGCCCAATGTGTTTTTCAAGCCACTAGGTCCAGGATTCAGACTGCCCTGTCAACCATGTGGGATCCACCTGTCTTAACCAACCTACCACCTTCTGGCCCACTGAAACAGTACTTTAATTAAAAATAAAAATGTATAGTTGAGGGGCCAGCAGGTGGCATGGTGGTTAAGCTTCTGGACTCTCACCTGACTGACCATAAGTTGAGTCCTAGATCTGGCAACTTGCTTTCTCACTTTCTCTCTCTCTCTCTCTCTCTCTCTCTCTGTCATTCTGTCTCTCTAGTCAAATTAATAAAGATAATAATGAATAAAACTAAATAAAGTAATTCTTTTAAAAATTCTTTAAAAAATTAAAAATATATATAGCTGAGTGATGTAACAAAGGCAGTATAGCCTTTGGTGAAGATGGGTTTGAGAGACAGGATAGACTCCTAGCTGCATCACTTAGTAACTTGGTGACTTTTTTTTTTTTCGAGAGGTTTTTGCTATAGGGTGCATGCGCTCGCCAGAAAGACAGAGAGAGAGACAGAGAGACAGAAAGTGAGAAATCACCCCCCAGGGGGGATGGCCACGTTGCAATCCCTTCTCCTCCATTCTCCTCTCGGGATCCTGGTGGGCACACACGCACATGCGCCCGGCATGAGTTTAAGCCACCACTTCCGGGACTCAAACTGCAGTCGACTACATGGGAGTCCAGTGACATAGCCATTACGCTAACTGCTGGTCCTCATTAGCTTGGTGACTTAAAGTAAGTTATTTCAACTTTCTAACCCTCAATTCCTGATTTATGAAGGGAGGTGGTAATGGGGTTGATAGGAATTAAAGGTAATATTCTTTTTTTATCATTATTGATTTCAATTGTATTTATTCACTTATTTATTTTAATTTGACCAGAGAGATACACAAAGAGAGAGGGAAAGTGAGAAAGCAAACCACCAGGTCTGGGCTCAAACCGTGGTCAGCCATGTGGGAGTGTCCAGTGCCTTAACCACCATGCCACCTGCTGGCTCCAAAGGTGACCTCCTACATACAACATTGTAGCAGTGGTAACCTGTGGTAAGCACACGTGTATCACAGCCGTTATTTTGAATGGTTTTATGGCTGTTCAATGTTACTGCCTTCAAAACAGGGGACCATAAATTCCTGGCAATTTGTAACTTGATAATCAAAAGTTATCTTCGGGTAAAAGAGGTTCCAAGTGTAACTAAGTGAAGATAGACTTTGCTGTAAAATCACATTAGCAGTCTTGAGATTAGCATGTTCTAACCTACACCAGGAAACTATTTATATTTTTATTGCTTCAGATGTGACCTTAACTATGTCATTATATCACCTATCTATAATTTCATTTTTGTGATGAAAGCACTTGAATAAAAACAGATACTTCTTCCAGTTTTCCCTTGGGAAAAGTAAGGGGAAAAAAATGTTTGCAATATCAGACACGGATGGATTCCAGTCTTGTTCTCGGCCAGGGCCACTCTGTGTATGATGGAAGCTCTGTACTTGAAATGCTTAAAAATATCTGCATGTCTGCCGTGTTCCTTTTACCGAAGCACTGCCCGCCTGTCTTTGCAGTGGGTAACAAGCAGCGTGCTGCTCTCTGCTTTGTTTTCAGGGCAGCAGCTCATCCCAGCTCCAGTCGTGGACCGTCCAGCCCTCCTTTGAAGTGATCTCGGCACAGCCCCAGCTCCTGTTCCTTCATCCACCTGTTCCGTCTCCTGTCAGTCCATGTCACACTGGCGAGAAAAAGTCGGACCCCAGGAACTACTTGCCCATTCTCAATTCTTACACCAAAATAGCCCCACACCCAGGTAAACGGGGCCTCTCCATCAGCCCTGAAGAAAGAGGAGCAAGTGGAATGCAGAAGAAAATCTGTACTGAGAGACTGGGGTCCAGCTTGTCTTCCAGTGAGCCGACCAAGACTGGTGCTGCACCGTCCAGTCCCTCAACTCCAGCGCCACCCAGCGCCAAGCTCACTGAGGACTCTGCTCCACAGGGTGTGCCCTCCCTGGTGGCAGGGGGCAGTCCTCAGACTCTGCAGCCAGTGTCCAGCAGCCATGTGGCGAAAGCGCCCAGTCTCACCTTCGCTTCCCCAGCCAGTCCTGTCTGTGCGTCAGACAGTACCCTCCACGGGTTAGAGAGCAACTCACCCCTCTCACCACTGTCAGCCAATTATAGCTCACCTTTGTGGGCTGCGGAGCACCTCTGCCGCAGCCCCGATCTCTTTTCAGAGCAGCGGCAGAGCAAACACAGGCGCTTCCAGAATACCCTCGTAGTCCTACACAAATCTGGTTTGCTGGAGATCACTTTGAAAACTAAGGAGTTGATTCGTCAGAACCAGGCAACTCAGGTGGAACTAGACCAGCTAAAGGAGCAAACCCAGCTGTTTATAGAGGCCACCAAGAGCAGGGCTCCTCAGGCTTGGGCCAAGCTGCAGGCATCTTTGACATCTGGGGCCGGTCAGACTGCCCGTGACCTAGACGCTTTCTCTGACCACCCCGACATATAGCAGAAGGCCTGCTTTCCTGTTACTTGAGTGGTTCTGCTGTTACCTACTCCTGTTTCCCAAAGCTTATGTAAGAGATTTTCCTCCTAAACCTAAACTGTTCAGCAGTTCACTTACAAAGCCACGTGCCGATACCTGGCTGTTGTCTGCGCCTGTAGTCCGGGCACAGGTTACATTATGTCTCCGTTCCACTGAGGACTTCCAGTTCAGAGTGTCCTTGAGTCTCTTCTCTTTACCCTGCAGGCACTTGGATGGATCACGGGGCAGAACATGAGAGAGAGTTGTGTGGGCTCTTCTAGCTGTCACCTCCCACCACCCTACTCATTCACTGGGATCAGGGGTGCCGTGATATGGATGAGCATACAGAGTGACACCTGTCAAGCCAGGGAGTAGGCGACATAAGGATCTCTTGGTGGAGACGTGTTTGCATTCCACCAGGCATGGTGCCAGTTGGGCACAACCTCAAATGCTTCGGACACAGGTTGTGCCTGGGTGCAAGCACTTAATCACTTAATGCTTCGCTTTCTTACACTTGAAAGGCAAGGGGAAAGGGTAGTGCTATTTGACTCATACTCTTGAATCACAAGCCAGATTTCACTTAAACAAGTAGGCAAAATACTTCAGATTTTTAAGGTGTGGAATGGATTCAGTACAATCTGGAATTGTAGTTGATGACTTGCTTTTTAGACAGAGGCTAAAAAAAAAAAAAAATAGACATGACCAGCATCTCTTGGTGAAGAACTGGAGGATTCTGGCCATTTATGCTCGTTTTTTCTCTTCTTTTGAAACAGTACAACCTGTTCTGTGTCTACAGTTAGCTCCAGTGGTTTCTGAGGTATCTTATAAATTATCCCTCTGTTACCACTCTGTTTTTTTTTTTTCTTTGTTTTTATTTTAAAAAAAAAAAAAAAAGCTCAATACACTGATCTGAAATCATGCTGAGGGTTTGATAAGTCTGCACAAATGGGAAGGTAGCTTTTTTATCCATTTCTATTTTCACATCCCAAGTTTTCACTTACCCTGTCAGAATGAGGGTGAGTGAGAATGGAGCAGTGTCTTTTAGGCGTGGCCACAAAGCCAAAGTGTTGCTTATATGAAGTTCATCTCAGAATGGACAATGGGATGCGACAACCCAGATGATCCACATTGTTTTCAGCTCCCCTGTGTTAGATAACTAGATTTGTAAGTAGTGACGTTTTAACATTTTTTTATCCTCATTTAAAAATGTCATCCTCTTGAAAGTCTTTGTTTTTCTACAAATTAATTTGGTGTGATTCATCTTTTCTGCAAAGAAAATATTCTTAAAGTTTTTCCAAAACCTAAACTTAATAATCATATTTCCTATGTGGAATAAAGTTATAAAAGTTGTAAAACTCTAACTTAGGTTTATAAGGCTTCAGATTGTCACCACTTTGCTCACAAACATGTCTGGTTTAGATCTGACCAGTTTAGAGAGAACTCACGTGAAATGTCTAGATTCCCCTGACCAGTGCAGAATTATTACCTGTCATTTGCTTCCTGAAGAGTCTCAGTAATTAGTGAGTGTGTCTTTAAGCAGATTCAGCTCATGTTTTTCTCTCGGCCACTCTGTCTCCCCGAGTCAGTATGGTACTGTGGCAGCTCTGCTCTGCACCATGCTAGCAAGCTTCCTTTTTGGCAGAGTGGGTTTGGCAGCAAAGCTACAGAGACAGGTGCATTCAGAACAGCCTGAGCACCCGTCATGAGTCTTACTGAGTGTCAAAAATCTGAAAACGCTTGCTGAGAATCCAATTTATTCCATTGGAAAAACCGTCTGTGGAGCTATAAACCTCTTGGACTCTTCTTCCTGGACGAGGTCTGCCTTTCCCTCCCTGTCATAGTAAAAGATGATGAAAGCCGTCATAGAGCCGCACTGCCGAGGGGCGGGGAGAAGCTGTCCCACCCCAGGCTCTTCCGTGATCTTGTCATTAGTGCTGGAAATCTCTCTCGACTGTTAGCGTGAGTGTTCTTT